AAGTATGTTCTTATGTTAATACCAGAGAATTCATGGAACATTTCCATTTTAATATTAATTTAAACTTAAATTAAATTCTTTTTTTTAACATATGTTTAACATATTTTAATACATTTTTAATACATTTTAATACATTTTTAATTTAAATTTAAATTAAAACGAGTTATTCTTATTTATTCTTACGTCTCAAAGTTGTAAAGTTTCCTTAGAGACTATAAACGCGTTAGTCTAGAAACGCGGAATATTTACCGAATAGATGAGAACTTCAATGTTATATTTGTTAAAAAATATTTTTTAACGCAACACGATAATATTTACTTACTTTTCATATAAATTTATATGAGCTATCTTAGGTTATCATTAATGGCGCATATTTGAGAAACTGCAATTCAACTCTTAAACGATATAAATAGTCTTTGAGATTTACGCTATAATATAAAGGAATGTCAGATATTGAACATTAGAACCTGATGATCAATCCATGGTTGACCTATGTCAGGCATGTATATGTGCGTGCGTGTATGCGTGCGTACGTGCGTGCGTACATGCACGCGCATACTCCATCGCACATGCTTTTTCCTCATCCTATTGGTGAAATTCAACAGTAAGGCACATGATGCCGTGCCGAACGTTCCGTGGAAGTCGTCGCTGATACAAATATATTTACGCACACACCACGTGGTCGCCGTACTGCGAAGACTGTGATGAAACCTACTATTTTACTTGTAGGAAACGAGAGTCTGTGGCCTGGCGCTATACCAAAAAGAAAAGTGCAATCCGAAATTCTGCATTTGCCCGAGACAGTTGTGGCAATCTACAGGTAAGAAAGACGGAACGTATAAACGTCTTGTGTATTCGAAATGATTGGAAAACGTTTGAGTTCATATGGGGAATAAATGCAGTGAAATGATTTTTTTATAAATTAAACTCATTTCCTATTATTTGCAAACAATTTATGACGGAAAATTTGAAGTAATTATTATGAATAGAAGCAATCAGTTTTTATTTTTTCTTCTTTTCGATAGATTTATCTGAATTACGTTCGATTAGAATCTATTTGCTGACGGCCTTGATAGATATGAATGTGAAATTCTAGATATTCTAGAATATCTAAAATATCTAAAATATCACATTTAATCTAGTCTAGAATATTGATAGTTCTATTTCTTGCATTTTCATACGTCTATTTATATGGAACTTATCTGTTAATATATTATATTATATTATATATTATATTATTGTTGAAACTAGCGTTTTTTACTAGAGTCATGATTCATATATAATCGCACAATGAAATATGTAGACATATATCTTTTAGATAGCTACTCCAAATTATGGTATATCTGTGATGAGATTGATAATACAAGAGTTTAAGAGATAACGATAAAATATTTTCAACAATTTTGAAAAAGACGTAACAGACCTAACACCATACACGATATCAGTTTGTTACCTGTAAAATAGTTATAATAAGTTTGTTTAGCGACAATCAAGCTGTTAATTTTTATACAATATTTGTTTATAAATTAAGAAAGTCTGACTGTGTCTCTTTGTATTCCATCAATTTCTTAGGAAGAGTAAAAAGAAAGTACTTTCACTTACAATTAAAATTATCGGACGATAGGAAACGAGACATTTCTAAACATATATAATATAAAATGTACATATACATATATATATTTTTTATGTATTTAAGTATATAATCATGATTCAAATAATTGATATGTAATCATGATTGTCATAATTTCACTTTTTTCTTGTTATATTTATTATAAAATATCACTCTCGGGAACAAGTTCGAGAAACGAGTTCTGAAACATAATAGCGAAGAGGATCGTGCACACTGGATAAAAAAATCGATTGCAATTTTGTTGAGAGTGAAAGATATCGAAAAACAAGCTAGTGACATAAATACAAAGTCCAATTTCTAGTGAGAATCAAAAGATAGACTTTGTGCACGTCCGTTAGATACGTTACATTAATAATCAGTTGAAGCGATATAAGCGTTTTCTTATACATCGATTATATAAATATTTATACAAGATGTTTTATAAGAAATAGAAAAAGAAAATATTTAACATAAAATTATTTAACATAAAAATTAATTCATTTATTATAGGCGACGTATAGCGCAAACTAACTAAAAAAAGTTTCCGACCGAGATTCCGGAGTTTCTTCGATGATTTGAATTTGACATAAAAAATTTTGTAAGAAACATGGAAATTTTGGGCGTGAAATTTGCACCGTTAAATGTACCTTTGCAAAGAAGACTGCAGACATTGGCCGCCGCGATATGGATTTTTGTTTCCGCTTTCGGTGATATTTGGGGATACCTAATCACGGCCTATCTTCTACTCTACACCGAAACAATACGTTATTTCCTGCTATTATATTTTCTCTGGATGTACTATGATTGGGATACATGTCATTCTGGTGGTCGAAGGTAATAACTTGAACAACTTCTATCGATATGTTGAAGTACTTGTAGCAACGTAATGGATGAATAAAAATCTTATTAATCACTCGAAGATAATTGTTCAAAGGTAAGAGATGTAAAAAGTTATGAGCCTTGCATCATTAAATGTTATTGAATCTTATATGAAAGAATAATTTTAGCCGCGATAAAAACTCTTTAGAAAATTGTAAACAATCATCAAGTTTAGTTAAAGAATTGTTGTATGTTATATTTCAGTGAAATATGGACAAGAGCGACAAGAAACAATGCATTTTGGCGTTATTTTTGCGATTATTTTCCGATAAAATTAGTAAAGACGGTTGATCTAGATCCCAAAAAATCTTATTTATTTATTTGTGTACCTCATGGTGTTTTATCGGTGGGGGTAATGGGTTCATTCGCAACAGATGCATTGAATTGCAAGAAACTATTTCCCGGACTGGAAATACGCCCAATTACGCTCGATCAGCACTTTAAAATACCTTTATTCAGAGAATATGCTTATTCTATGGGTAAGAATTTTTAATACAGTATCATTCAAAATTTCCTACTCTCTAAAATAAAACACATATTCTTGTGTAATTTTTTCTCACTTTAACAACGTAACTACAATAATTTAGTCTTTTTAACTATAAAATAACAAAAATATTTGTTACAGATTGATATGTTGCTTGAAAAACTTACAATTTTATTTTATTTTAGTTTATTTTATTTTATTTCAAGGGAAACTTATGAATAGCAGTTGTTTTTAAATTTTTCTTGTTCAGCTGCCGATGAATCTTACAATATTAAATTCCGTTAACATCTATGAACATAAATACATTAAAATTATTATATTATTATAAATGAGACATCTGTTTAAAAAAATAACATATATCTTAAAAAAAATGATTCTAAAAAATTAAAACGTCACTTTGAATTAAAAAAAATTACTATTTCTTTTTTTGAGGTATACATGTACATACATTTGCAAACTATTAGTATAGCAATGTGTTAAATACACATGTGTACACATGTATATTTAACACATGTGTATTTAACACATTGTTATATTAATAGTTTGCAAATGTATATGTATACTTCGAGAAAGACAGAGGTTATTTTATGCAAATTTGGTGTAGATAAAGCATTTAATGTATTGTATGTTTTTCGTAATTTTTTAAATGTAACAATGAAAAATTTCCAAATATTTACAGGTTCCTGTGCTTCTAGCAAAAGAAGTATTAAATACTTATTATCAGCACCTCCAGAAAGTCCCAATACTGGAAGGGCTACTGTTCTCATCGTCGGAGGTGCTTCCGAATCAATGGAATCGACACCGGGCACTTATCGTATTGTTGTAAAAAGAAGAAAGGGTTTTGTGAAATTAGCATTAAAACACGGGTGAGTGATAAATTTCCTTATTTCCGCATAATTTTTAACCTGCATGAATTACATTTTTAGTTCTATTCATTTTTAGTTATATAAATCACTTGTCACAAAAATTGTTGTATAATTTGTTTACGTGTGATTTTTAAAATAAAATTATATATTGTAAATAATAAAAAGGAAAATGAAATATGAGGAACATAGTTTGCTTAATACAATTTAAATCATTTAGTGCGCCGTTGGTTCCTGTGTTTTCTTTTGGCGAAACGGATTTATTTAATCAAATATATCGTCCAGAAGGATCGACTTTTAGGCGAATACAGAACTATATTCGCAATTTAATTGGATTAGCACCCATCGTTTTTTCGGGTAGAGGATTCTTTCAGTATTCGTTTGGTCTTATTCCGAAGCGGTTACCTGTTACTGTAGTCGGTAATGTCTTTCTTATATAATTATGATTAAATTAATATTACATTAATATTATTCGAATACTAATATGCATGTTAAATTACTAAGTATTTCATTGTTTTTCTAAGCCCTTATTCAAATTGTATGATTCTATTCATTGTAGTTGGAAATCCTATTGAATTGCCGAAAATAGAGGAACCTACGACTGAACAGATCAACGAATATCACGAAAAATTTACAAAAGGTTTAATCGATCTCTTTGAAACACAAAAGCACAATTATTTAAACAATGCCGAAAATATTACTCTCGAACTATAATCGATTAAATGATACAATATAAAATATAAATTTATTATTTTTTTGAAATATTTTTATTAAAAAGATTATTACTTTCTTAAAGATACAGAAAGATTTCAGAATGGGATTCTATATATGATAAAGACATAATAGCATTATTATATCATCTATTTCATTTATTTGTGAAGATTTTCAAGATTTAAATTAAAAGCAAAATTGGGACTTATAAAGAGATATATTAAACAAAATTTAATACACGATATTATTCTTGTAATTTTGAATTGCATGTATAATATCGATATATAAAATTAGAAGCATATTTTGAAATTATAATTAAAATTATAATGTTATAATTAATATTATTTTTTGAGATTACAACCAAACTTTTGTTCTAAATATATGTAATATTTAAAAATTGATTTACATATGCTCAATATCTAATTTATCATGTAAATGTTAATTTTTACATATTTTTTGTTTGTATATCTTAATGATAAAAAACAAAGATATTAATGATTAATAGAATTATTAAATCATGAAAATTGAATAATTTTTGAAAATACCATTATTATATATATGAAATTATTAGTTGTATAATTTTTATTATTATCATAACTTACGATAGTCGGCAAGCAATTAAATTTATATAATATTTCGTACAAAAGGAACAACTAAGATAGCGAAAGTCAGCAATGTAAAACACAAAAAACTCGTTCTTAAAACCTGTAATTAAAGAAATATTTTTTATAGTATGCTCTATCATTTGCTATACCTTAATCCTACCTTGTCCTGCCATTCTTTGTGCGTTATACATTTGCGAAAACTCATGCGACTAAAATGCACAGCAGAATAAAGCGGTATCCAGGAATTGGGAATAAGCGTATATAAAACTTGGTCTAGAAATTTTCGAAGAAGAAAAGATTTTCTTGTCACTAAATCCCTCATCTGAAATGTGCAATTTAGGTTAATTTTGACTCAATAAACGTAGAAATTTTGAAAAATGACAGTATATAATTTTATAATATACCTTCAAGATAATTATACATTATCATAAATTTTATAATATTACCTCACGATAATTATACATTGCGAGATCACATATTGCGTGGCCATCATCGCATCGTATTTCCGAAAATTTCGGTAAAACTTTTGCGAAGTCCGAATCGTAACGTTCCATTAATTCATCAAGTAGTAGAATATCTTCGAAACCCTGATGAAATTGAAAGAAAGATATCAAAGCAAATTTAAATAATTTAAATAATTTAAATAATTTACTTTTTTCCTAATAAATATGGATATTATTATAATGCAAAACAATTGTGTTCTTCTTTTTGCAAATATTGACATATCAAAATAATTTGATCTAAATCGATACGATAAAATAATTTACAGCATTCATTCCTTGAGCATAAAAGGGAACCATCGCATGTGCAGCGTCCCCAACTATAACAACGGTTTTTCCAACGTGATAAGGCTTACACTGCATAACAGACAAAAAGATATTAGTACTTATCCATATATGTATATCCAACGATCATAGAACACAGTAAAATTAAAATTAACCTTTATAGATATTAATGTTTGCGGTTTTCTTTCAAAGAACTGCTTTACCAGTTCCTCTTTACCGATCAATCGCAGAAAATCCGAAAAATGTTCAATGTAGAAATTTAACAATGCCTCAGGCGTCTTCAGTTCTTGGAGCACGTGAAATGGAGCGAACAGATTGCCGGTGAATGTACGATCCTCGTTCGGCAAGGAAGTCATCATAAATTCACCGCGCGGCCAAATGTGAAGATTATTACCCTTCATTGCAAACTTCAAAAAAATTTTGATAAATTCATCAAGGAGGAATGTTCGAAAAAAACTTAAAAATACGGTAGTATTTCTTCATAATATTCACTTCGTTATCTTTTCTACGTGGCACAGAAAGTTCCACGTAGCCATGCTCGATGTATGTTTGAGCGCAATTAAAAAGCGGTCTCCTGGCCATAATTCTTCGTATTCTTGAATATGCCCCATCGGCACCAATTATCAAATCAGCTTCCGCGTCTTCCGTCATTCCTGTATTTGTACTGAAGACAAGGAATTATCTAAGTAGAAAAAATACTAATTCGCTCAATAATGACATCATCCATTCACTCACTTTAAAAATTTCATTTTTCCCTTTTCCAAATCAGCGTCCATGAGCTTTCTGTTGAAATGAAGTTGCACTTCCGGATATTCTTCCGCGGCTATTAATAAAATATAATTGGCAAAATAACAAAACAAAACGAAACAGATGCTGTTCGTTTTAAATTAGATTAGTTATCTGATATCATGGTTTGTATTTTAAGTCGACTATGAAAGTCGATTATGAAAAAGGAGTACCATGAAGTAAGATGATACGCATGAATTTTTGCGGCTTCACACACGACGGCGTCATCGAATATCACGTAGGAATGGAGGAGCCTTTTTTGATAAGAATATCTCACACTCTGTTTTGTACTTTCTTGACTTACTTGCAACATGATTGATATGATATTTATTTAAAATAAATTACGATTTTATTCAAATATTGATTGAATTTATAAAAAAATTCTTTGCTTTAAGTAATAATTTACATGAAAGAAGAAATAATAAATGTGAAGTAGAATACAAACTTTTCCTCTCCTCTCAATTGTATTATTAATAACAAACTTATTATAATAAATTATTAGTGATCTAATGTTATATTTACAATAAACAATATAAAAATAGTATAAAAATATAAAAATATAATATAAAAAAAAATCATACCGTTTAATAGAACTACATTGAGGTGTCGTCTACTAACAGAATAAATGCACTGTAAAACAAAAATTAGTAATATGAATATGTAGCATGCAAGTATGTAAAAGACAAACAAAATTAACATGCAAAAAATACTTCAATTATTCGAAATAATAAAGATATATAGAAACACACATTTCCTTTAACGCTGTCATAAAGAATTTCTTTCAAATTGCATTTTTTATCATGGAGCATTCTGCCTTGCATACGAATACCGTGATGATTTATCAAAACATCTTCGAGACCGACTGCCTTTAAAGCTTCTCTGCCGCGAAATGACAACGCCAAATTGATACTCTGACCATGTGAATTTTCCATTCGTATATCTAAGGACGTAAAGTATCGATATCAATTAGTAATTAAATAAGACGTTAATAAAATTCAGATAGATCATTTCGTAATGAATTTTATTAACGTATTTTAAAACCGTATCAATAATAAACATCAATGGTTGCATTCAATAAATACAACAATTGTACAATAGTTGAGTAACATAATCGATCAATTCAGGTTAATTATGTTGACAATTTGTCAATATAATTGATTATGGAATCTAACGGTAAAGACTAATAATTATTGATCGCTCACTGATCGTTTTGCTGAATACAACCCATATGTACATACTATATACTATATTAAAATATTATAATACGATGGATAGTGAGAATATTGAATTTTAACAATAATAAGTTATTAAAAGATTGGAAAATGAAACGCTAGGATTAAAATATAATCTTTTCTACCTGATCGATATTCATAGATGATCACTTGATGACCCCTTTTAGCAAAAAAACATGCGGCTAATGCTCCAACCTGCAACGAAAATAGCTTTTTTCTTTTTTGATCCTTTTGCACCGAAATAGAGAGATAAAAAAATTTCACACACCAAACCACCCCCGACAATAGCGATACGTGATTTTTTTTTCACTTCTGCCATACTTGTTCCGCTGTGCATCGAAGCTACTGATCAACTGTACTAGCGACCTATCGTCGTAGGTACTTATATATATACACATTCACGTACGATGTCTATATATTACACAAGAAATAAGTGATAAATCCCTTTTCAATTATTTCTAAGCAAGTATTAAAAAAATTATTACAAAAGTAAAAGAGTTAACAAGCAAATATAAAAAATACAATTAATGTACAACTAAAAATTAATATATCAATCGCATTATATTAATTGTAATTAACAAATAATTTTATTATAACTTTTTATTGTTATGAAAGTTTATCTGTTTTAAAAGTTTATCTCTGTAAAATCATCTGTTATAAAATATTAAAATGTATTACAGAATTCTGTAATAAAGTAAAATAACTTGAATTAAGGCTGCGTTTCGGTATTCACTGTAAGTACTGACGATATGACGTCATTCAGTAGAGCTGCAGGAGCGTTCTGTTATTACTGATGATGACTTTTGCACTGCAATAACGGAACGATATTCGTAATTCTGTGACTTGGCAGATGTATATAGAAATATAATCTTTCTTATAGCGTTTTTGTTTGAAGAAGTCTTGAGAGTGGTTTTACTGAAATGGAAAATTATTATTTTATCAGAGTTTGCGAGATGCATAGTAGATTTTTCTAGTGACTCAGATGAAGACGTGTTATTAATAATAGCTAAGTCAAATATAATGCCACTGCCATATGCCCGTTGCGAAAACTATGTTGAAAACGTTATACCTTTATATATAGATAAAGAATTCCAAATGCATTTTCATAAGTAAATAAGAAATAATATAGGAAAATATAATATTTGCAGATCAGTTATTTGCATAAAGATAGATGTGATGAAAAATATGTTTGGCAGAGAAAAAGAGAGAAAAAAACAAGATGCGTTGCCTATCTATTTATAATTTTAGTAGATTTTATAACATTCATTAAATTAATATATGTATTTATAAAAAATGTTTTATATATATATATATATATACATAATAACAAT